GAGAGAGAGAGAGAGATGTTGGAGCTTAGCTGATCAGTTGATGAAGAGTTTAGTTTTGCAAGTATTCGAATGGTTTCTGTCTACAACTGATTATGATATTGCTATTTTAATGGTAATCAACGTATCTATCCTCCTGACTCAGACAAGTGACTTTAATAACCGATTATGCAAGACGCCAACCATGTTGATAAGGATGTTGATGAGATTGCAACACGCCATATGTGCCCTAACTTTAAATACTGATTTCCTAATGTTTAAAACAGTGATTAAAAATTGCCAATCCGGAACCACAACCGGATTGGTATGGGGAGCTAGGGGATACTGGTTTGTAAAGCCCCATAAGTGCTTGACTTTCCCGGTTTTCTTTAGTTTAATTTTTTTGCCTAACATATGGGCAAATCAGATTCGATTGCCTAATAAGTTGGGCAAAAATTTTAGTCTTGATTCCTTTTTTTTTTTTTAATGAGAATATTAACTAATCATCATAAATTCAAGATTCATGAAAAGTTTTGATAAAATTTTATGTTGATTGTCTATCTAACACAACCCACTTCTTTAAGATGGGTGAGGAAAAAGTTTAAATCATCACCCTTTTTAGACCAAAAATATTAAGTGATACTACTTTCATTAAGAAAAAGAGCCAAGCTCCATAAGTACAATTACAAGCAAATTGAAAAAGAATCTTGAGACGGTCTACAACAAGAATTTATTACTATACCAAGAGTTTTAACTTTCAAGAAAACAAATTTGTACTCTTGGTGGTTAAGTATGTCCCAATGACTTGGGATTTGAATAGGACACATAATTGAAGCCACCTAAGCTTGTAACTTCAATTATATATTATGAAGCACTTAAGATTCCAAATGAATGGCTCAAAATACAATATTATATTATGAAGCACTTAAGTTCAATTATAATACAATTATCTTTTCTTGAAAGAGTACGAGACATCAAATAGTGGATGACCTAGGATTCAGGCAAAAAGAAAGCAGTTTGAATCCAACTATACTCAACTAAAAAACGTTTTAGAGGGGCCACCTCAACAATCCCAATATAATGGTAAGTTTGAGACCAAATTGACAGCCCTCACTCGATATGCATTTTCATTTTTCCTCATCCTCCCCTACATCTATGTCCCACTTTTCATAGCTTTTGTTTTGGGGGCATAATTTATCAATTCCTTTTAACAATTCTGCGATAGCAATATATCAATACACCCAAACAGTCGACCGTGACTCGCCCGAGTAAGTTGACTCAAGCAACTTGGCCTCCTCCTATTTTTCCAAGTTGGGGGTATTACTCGGGGATAGGAAAAAATTTCACAAAATTTTAAAACAATTTACATAGTATTGGATTATTTTATTATCCTTTTTTATATGATTTGAATGTACTTGACAAAGATCGGTGAGTTTGTCTTGCTTTTATATTTTCCTATTTTCTTGGAACTTTTTAAATGTCTTAAGCTGTGAATTTTTTTTAATATATTTTTAAGCTTGTTTTAACTTTTTAAAGTTGTTTTATATTTTACTTTAGTTTCACTAGAAGTTTTTTATTTTTCATTCTTTTATTATTATTACTGCGCCAAAAGGCCCTATGCTGGACTCGGCCAAGTCCTGAGAACTTGGCCGAACTACTCACTTTAGCAAGGACTGGCTGAGGCGAATCCCGGCGCACTAAACACAAAGTTTAGTATCAATCTCGATAGAAAAAATGGATTAAAGAAAACGGGACAGAGCGCCACGAAATCATTGAGTGAAAAAATGTGATCAGTTGGAAAAAAACAATGTGGAACAAAGAGAAGAGTAGTGAATATCTGTATACATATATGTGCAAAGAGAGGACATGTTATCATATTCCTTTTGAAGGTTAAATCAAATATAAATTTAAATATGAAAATATAAGTTGTCAGTGATAAATCAACATTTAGTGCTTTGTTGGTGCTTTCAAAGAGTTATATATCCCAATACATTGATTCAAAAAGCGGTCCGCCAGCACTTCAGCAACCACCTAGGGAGCTAGGGGGCCTAGGTGTATTGCCTAAGCTTAGGCATGTTGTCCTTGACCACGTACCTAGGACCCTAGTTGCCACCTAGTACCCTGCCCGCAGCTCAAGGTACCTAGCTAGGCACCCAAAAGACTGTGCCAACCTAGGTACAAAAATACCCATGATATGGGAGCATTTATGGTGTTTTTTATGTTTGGATTATAAAAGATACATGAATATGCATTTTTTATATAAAATCTACCCCTTGCACCCTTTTGACCTCAGGCTGCCCAGATCCTTAGGCAGCCACCTAGGCATTGGGCGGCCTAGTCCCCCCATCTGCCACCTATTTTTTTTGGAACATTGTCTCAATGAGTCCGAACTATGACAAAAACAACAAAGAAAAATAACATTACGGTAGTTTTGAGTAACCGGGCTGTAGTGGTGGTCTAACTGTAAATCAGTGTTATGGTTTGTTTGGTCTAAAGTAAAAACTAAATATTGTTAAAAGAAGTATTGGTAAAACCAGTGTTTGATTGGTTTTGGTCGGTTGGACTGACCCATTTCAACTGGTTTGATCGGCCAAATAAAGTTTGGCAATTTTTTAACATATTCCATATTTTTAACCTATTATTTATATTTTTTTTTATATTTTAAAAGCCATCTAACTTATCCAAGTGGTGATCGGACCCTCATTGTTTTGGTGTCGGTTAAATCCTAATAACACATATTTTGAGAAGTTCTTTGGATCTGTTTTCCAAAATTATATAATACACCAGACAGTGACACTGTCATTAAAAAGATTCTTAAAAAAGTCTGAGTAGTTCTTTGAAAAAAAAAAAAAAATCTGGGAGGTGATGGGGTTGAAACTAGAGTTTTGCCCAATGGTATTAGGATCGGACTGTCCAACAAACTGGTGAAAAGTCCGGTCTGGTCAAAACCAATTAAACTGTCTATCATACTGATTAGAAAAAATGAATAATAGTTTAAATATGTTTAAAAAATATGTCCAGTCTTTTTTAGCCAGTTCAACCAATCGAAATCGGTCTGTCTAACATACTAAAGTCGGGCAAATACTAGTTTTAATCAGTTTTTTAACTCACCACATGCTATGGTTTATTAAAAAAGTCAGCTAAATTGCCTATAGTTTTTTCCTCATTTTGTTTTTGAAATCAACATATATGACACTTGTTTTTGGTTAATACTAACTTCT